TTTCTACATATAATTACCTCCCTTTAATTAAAAGTAAAAAAAGCGAGGACTCGCAACTGCCGCGATTATTTCATTTCTCGGGATTACGAGTGCACAAAGATAGCGACACTATCTCGACACGGGATAATGTTAATAGCTCGCGCCGTGTTTCACGCAAAAATCCTCGTCTTGATACGCAGTACAATAACAGGCAGAACTGCGTCCAAGGAGGAAAAGGATCGCTCGAATGGAACGAATTCGCGGTAGTTATACGTGTCTTATCGTTCCACATGGTGGGGAATGAGTCACATTCTAGCTCCTGAGAGCTCACGTATGAAAAGTCGTTGCAATATTCCCGTGACCTGTTTTTTTTTTCTCTTTATGAGGGACGCGAGAGCGACCAATATATTATCAGTCCTACATCTGTATGTGGAATGCTGCATCGAGAGAGCAGTTTGCAAATTACAACGATTTGTTGTCTGAAAAGAAAAAAATATCCATTGAATGACAATGTTGAACCTTGATTTAAACGAAGCAATCTCCAGATAAAGCACACCTTTTCTCTAGGAATTTTCGACTTTCGCTCGGAGCTTCCGGCACGAAAACCCGCGGCTGCCTCGCGTTCTAGGAGTTGTGCGCGTTCTTAGGAACATCTGTTTGTTGTTTGCTTAGGCGGTTATCGCCGGAGAGTGCACCTGCTCCATCGTGCGGCAACAATAGCGAGACTCTCTCGGGATGCGAGCTATTACGCTGTTAATCGCAGGAAGTCTCCTTTTTGGAGGACGGCGGCGCAGCTCTTGCGATGTTTAATTAATTTTCGCGTGAACCGTGATGCGCTCTCGCGCGAGAATCGCGATGGTTAATCGAGCAGCGTAAGCTCTCTCTCTCTCTCTCTTTCTCTCTCTCTCTCTCTCTCTCTCTCTCTCTCTCTCTCTCTCTCTCTCTCTTCTTCCGACCAGAAAACCGCTTCGTCCCTGCCCGACAAAGTTTTATTTCCGGCGATTTTCACGACGCAGGATTACGTAAATTCCGCGTTGATGTCAATCCGCCGCATTGTGATTGCGTATGCATCGCGGTCGTATTACGTGTACGTAGATAGATTTCATTTACTAAGAAAGAGTAATACCTCCCACTTGATGGCGAAAAAAATATTGTTTCTAGGGAGTTGCGCTTGCAGATTGATCATTTTTCGGCTCGTATATTAACGCGTGAGTGATTTCGAGGGGTTCGTGATAATTCGAGAGAGACATTGCGAAAACTTTTCTCTTTGGTTTTGCAAATATTTAAGAATCATTCTCTTAAGGTTCATTATTTAAAGGGCTGGGAGGAGAGAGAAGGAAAAACAAAAACGTTCAACATCGAGGCAATTTGTCGAGATAAAGACATGATTGCCGCGTAATTATTCTTTGATAACGTTATGAATATGTAAAGGATGCATAACGAGCGCTTCATTCTTTCGCGAAGTCAACATACCGGTTATGATAATGGGGTGTGTGGGAGGCAGACGATCGAGAGATATCCTCCCCCTGTAACGTGGGCGTTTGTAATAATCATGCGCGCGACCGAAATCCTTCGGACTACGTAAATTCTTTCGCAGCCCGCGATCTGTCCGCTTAGCCTCCTTAACTTCCACGCGCACACGTCATTCATTTCGCAATGATCCGTGCGACTCGTTTGTTTACTGATGATTTCTGGACTGACTCGTAACGGTCATTGATGAAACACGGTCGTTCGTCGTCGTCGTCGTCGTCGTCGGAGTCGGAGTCGCCGAGGTATTTTCGTACGCGCGCTGAAACAGTTTTGCTCTCTTCCAGTCTTTTTCCCTCGAACGTTTCATTCTTCCGTTTCCCCCCAGAATTCCACGTGTTATCACGCGCTCCGAATATTATCTTATTAGGAGCGTTTTCGCGAGTCACGTGCGATTGATTGTGCAATGGGAGCCGGCACGAGGAAGTCGGCGTACAATCGCGAATTGCGATATTGTGCTCCCGATACAATTAATAGCCATCGTCCTGCGTCGTTTCCCATCCCGTACGAAATCGGACGTTTCCTGTTTGGCTTTTGCGTAACGCGACCGTCACATGTGCAGAAGAGGGCGAGCGCGCGCATACACGTACTCGTAACAAATTTTGCATAGTCGTTCGTTCCGTCTCATCGCGCTTTCAGCTTTGTTAACGTGACGATAAGCGTTACTAATGTATACAACGTCTGTGTGCTATTTTAATGTCTCCCGACAGAAAAACAAAACTCCTTCCTGCTGCCGCGAGAACCGCAATGACTGAGACACGTGCAGATCGACAAAATGTTTGTCGCGACGACGACGACGACGACGATGATGATGACGGAGGACGACGGAGAACAACCTCGAAACCTTCCGTTACTCGATCTTATTCGATTTCCGTGTCTCGTTCTAGAACGATTTTAGAGGAGAGTGTGCCAAAAACCCGCATGTCTCGTCTGAATACGTATGCAGATAACGGGGATTTTCCCCGGCTGGAAGGAACAAGTCGACCGTTGCATCATGTCGCTGCTCATAGATATATTTAAGTATCTGCACGAATAGCGTCGATAAGCTCGGCCACCTGCTGGTTTCTTCTAAAAGTCGATATACATCCGCGCACGCTCGTCACGTTAGTCGTGAGATGGTTTTCCCTCATGCGTGATCGATGCAATTTTGTTTTGGCACAAAGTGCGCGCGTGCGACAAATTACACTGTCGGCTTATCTCGAAAAGCACCCAAGTGACTTCATTATCCGCGTTCTTTCGCAGTATCCCTGGACGGAGGATTTTTCACTTTCTCGTGTTGCGAAAGGAAGAAAAGCCGTTGGAAATATCCAATGCGAGATAACGCAAGATATTGCGTTACGCGACTATGTTTCGAAGCTCCGTGAACGAAATTGTGAAACGCTCACGACGACCGCGAGCCGAAATTACCGTGGCCCGATAAAATCGCGGATACGTTCTCGCTCGCGCTCGAATTCGCGAGAGGAGAAGAAAAAAAAAAAGAAAGAAAATCGCGGTCGTGAGAAGCATTCATGGTCGCCGACGACCCATGGCACAGATTCCTCCTGCAGTTTTGCAGGGCCGTTGCATCAGCGAAGAAATAAAAACGTCGTGCGCGGCATGCGCGCGAGTCTCGCCGGTCTCGCGAAGATACGCGAGAATATCGCGATCATAAAGCGTGTCTTTCTATTCAAAAATGCGCGAAGGAGCGCGCACAGAAAGGAGAAAAATGTCGCTGCAGTTCTACAGACAGATACATGGCGCCGGCCGCCATGTCTATTGTAGTTCGTAACAAAAGTTAGTGACAATACGCATGCACAATTATTTCATCGTACAATTATTGCGGTTCTCGCGGCAGCAGAAAGAAGTTTTGTTTTTTATCGGAAGAGACGACTAAAATGGCACAGAGGCGTTTTATACATTTGTAACGCTTATCACGTCACGTTAACAATCATTATTTATATATACACAATATTGAATATTTTTCTTTCAGCGGTAAGAACGACCGCCGCTGCTTAGTCATGTCCTCTTCTTGATTTTAATCATGATTCTTTAAATGTGTCGTGTTAAATGTCTCGAATGAAGTTGTTAAGATCGCCGTAGTCCATCTACATCTACTGAGAGAAAAGAAAGATGACTAACCGCGATAAAATTATAGTCATTTTCTATGTAATCCGTAGTTTCTTATTACAACAAAAGAAATATGTATCTAGTGGTAGTAATTTGCATGTGTAGAATTATTACCACTCTGTTATTACAAAAAACAGCTTCCTTGGCTATAATTATTTCGCTGTGTAATTACAGCCATGAGTAGCAAACACCTTCTTCTGTGTGTCTGTATCGCGAGAAAATACGCCTCGTTGTAATAAAGCTTGGCGAATTTTGAAGCGAATTGTGAGACATCATAAATCTTGTCTCATCAAATATGTTTCGTTTGTTAATATTGATTGAAAATTACGTAACACGATGCTACGACAGAAACGCCTTATGGGAGCGCTCGTTACTCATCGAAATTTCCGTATGTGCGCGTCGTCGTGGCTACCTCGCTCTAACTTTTACTCCAATTTACTTTAATCGCCATCGCATTAGATTATCGAGACAGCTACCGCTAAGGAGAAAGCAAAAAAGTTGCGTTTACCGCGCGTAGTTTCCCTGCGGCGAAAATCGACGACTCGCACGGCGGATAATTCGGGATACAGAAAGCGGCCGTCGCGTACGTGAAATTCAGTATGTAGGACTGCCGTGGCGAGCGATAGCCGACTAACATTATTTCGAAGGGATTTAAACGGTTCGCGGGGAACCGGTTCTCTCCTCTGTCTCTCGCGCATGACGCCGAGTAATGGAATTCCTTTAAGTACCGTTCAGAATTGCATCAGGATCCAAGGTCGCTATAAGTATCTCTCCGGAGACTCCGATCCTTATCTGCGCGAGCGCTGTGTACTACTGCCAGGTGTAATAACAGCGACACACGGTGGTGCGATCGGCTCGCCGCGGGTGCAGAAGATCGCGATGGGATTCGCCAAGTACGCGCGAGAGCGCACCTTTGCTGATTTTGTGGAGGACCCAGCGTGCGCATCCGCGCGCTTGTGAATTCGACTGTGTTCCGCGACGCGCAGTTTGTTTTTCTATTTTTTTTTTGTCGTCCGCGATTCGCATCTGCATGAGGTCACGTTTGCACCGACGCCGTGCAAAAGACTCCGTGTCATTCGATTCCAAAGGATATCGTCTTGTTCTGCTGCTGATATTGTAATTCAGACCCGTCGTGAGTGAAGATTGCTCTACTATTCTAGCGGATTAAAACGTCCGTGTTTCTCTCCTTATAGCTGACTTTGATAATCTCGGAGTGTTTGTATATTTTGAGCCTCCCCTATTTTGACAATCCCGATTTCACAGAAGAAGATAATCGTATGATTTCAAAGGAGGCAGAATTGCGGGAGAAGAGGGCGGAATGCGCGAGTAAACGATGCAACTAGAGCAAGATGAAATGATCGATTTTTTTCCGCTTTATTTCGTTTCAGAACACACAGAAGTCCATCGGCTCCAACGACTCGGTGCACAGCGACAGCACTACCGCGGCGCAGACGACGACGGCGATGACGACGAGCAACGACAGCAACAGCGATAACAACGAGACCAGCATGCGGGAGAACGGCAACGGCGTGAGGAACAACGACGTGGGCCACGTGCACGGTACGGGTAACGGCAGCGTGGGCGGCGCGAACAGCGAGCCCCGGCAGGGCTTGAACCTGAAGATGAGCGCGAAGGAGCTCAGAGCCCAGCTGGCGGCACGCAAGAAGTACGACCCGAAGAAGGAATCGATCGGCTTCAAGGACAAATTCGACATCGTGCAGAAACTGTAGACAGCATAATAGCCCTGTCCATCTACCTGTCTGCCTGTCTGTCCGTAACCCGAACGATTCTCTTCATTCCTTTCCTTCTCGCCGTCCTTGTTGCCGTTGTCATCGCTCGTCGTCGTTGTCCTCATCGGACACAACGACGATCGCTCCTTCCTTACACGTAACGTAACGCAACGCATCGTTGCGACCGATCAAATTCGTTGTTGTACGAGACGCACAATACACACACACACACACACACACACACACACACGCATGCACACACACTCCGTCTACGCACGTCGTGATCGTCGTGATCGACGTCGATATCGTAAACGCTCGTCCATTGATTCACAGCGATAGAGAAGGCTGAGCGGATTAGATTTATAGATTAGTAGGTTGCGAGAGAAAAAAGAGAGACGACGTGATGCGGGTGCGCAGGTACACGTTGCTCACTTTCGGCCTTACCGTTCGCACGGGTCTTACGTGTCATGCAATTTCGATCCCATCCGCGCCGGATATTACGGCGGATTTCGAGTCACCGAATTTATATCATTTATCGACGTTTAATATAGGAACTGTCACGAGGTAGATTATTTTCTGTTTGTTTTTCTCTTCGAGAATTACGTGGTCCCCGGTTTTATCACGAATTGTTTTTCTTTTTTCTTTTTTTTTCTTTTTTTTTTTCAAGTATCCATAATATTTTCTCCCGGGGCAACAATTTAGTTTTAGTTTCAAAATGTTCTTCCTGCTGTAAATAATTAGGGCACTTCCTACATACATGTTGGCGCGCGCGCACACACACACACACACACACATACACGTGGTTAGTGAGTCATTAAATCGAAATCTTTCGACTTGATTACCTATAGTGCCGGCACGGCTGAGCCCCTAAGCATCGTCCGTTAAATTCGGGAGATCCGTTTGCCGTTTCTTCCCACGACTTTCTCCGGCGAGAATTTATCGCCGCGTTCTCTGATGTAGTAATCATCCGCGAATGTTACGTCGATCGTGCGGATTCGTCGCGCGCGAAAGAAAGACGTCCCGAATTCTCAGCCACAAAATTCCAGAACCAATTGGACATTCGAATTGTATAGCGTCCGAATGCGAGAGTATATTGCGCGTGTAATGAATTGCAGTGATTTTTGTTAATTCAGCCGCCGTCGATATAAATTAAGAAACGTACGAGACGTGTCTCTATAAGGAATCTTAAAGAAACGCTAAACGAGCGAGCGCTCGTGAATCCGAAGGCGTAAGCTTTGATTCTCGCGCGAATGTTAATCGGCCGATTAATTCGTCGCGATTTATCGAGTTCTGCTTTTGAACAAGGCTGTGTATAATAGGATTAACGCGATTGCCGGGGGGCGCTTTTGATGTCGACACGCGAGGAATTTAACGCGCGAGGTCTCTCGATAATCTTGCGCGAAGCGTAGAAAATGTTCGCGCGACCGAGCGCGGCTCGCCGTTGCGAAACATCGCGTCAATTTCGACTGCATTCGGCGAGACCACAGTTCGTGCTCGTGCCTTGAGAACTCGCAAGGACGGACGTTCCTCGTGTGTGCTGCAATGGTCCTAAGAAGTCGCCTGCACGGTACAAGGACGTGCGCGTCGATGCGGGAGAAAGTACAGTGTCGTCGAGCGAAGTTTGTTAATCTCTCCGTTGTCGAATTCGGAAGGCGAGGCGCTTTTGCGGTTGTGCGTAGCAAATCGGATTCGCGCAAAAATCAGACTGACTTCGCGGACTGCAATAACTAATAATAACTAATAATCGTTGCTCGGTGTCTGACCGTGCAATTGAAGCATTGAAATTGATATCGATGCGAAAAAAAATTTTTTAATTTTTTTTCACGTTGGTCGAGACAATTTTGCTGTGCTTAATGGTTTATCGTAGCCACGATCGAAATCAATAATTATGGTGGTTAATATAATATGTTTTTAAGTAATATTGTGACATAGATCAATGTACGATATCGGTGCGAGTTGCTTGATCGAATTGTAGGATTCTTTCATCATATTTCTCAAGCTTCATCGCGTTTTTAGCGCTTCGATCTGACGATAAGATCGAAGAACGATTCTATTTGGAACGTGATTTTCGTTTCCTTTCGACGCGGCGATTCGAGAGATAACGCGAATCTCTATCGCTTGTTTGTTGATAAGCGACATCGAATAATCGGCAAACGCTTTAATCTACGTAACATTAGCGAGTCATTAAGCGGATTGCTGTTGACAATTGTCATTATGACGCATTATCATCCGGTTACTTCAGATGAGATTTAAATTTCAAAGTTGTCTCATTTGCGTTGCGTCATTCGCCGATGCAATCGTTCGTACATACGATGCGACGGAGACGCATTTCTTGTCGATGCATTTTCACTTTACTACTTTGCGGGAAAGTCTAGTTTTCCTCGTCTCGCGACGGTGTCGTAATTATCGGCACTTTTACATTCACATTCCAAGAATTAAAGAAAATAAAGCAGCGAGAAACGCGACCTTCGGTGCGCACAACATGAGAAGAGAGTTGAAGAGCAATTTTTGATAAGAAGGAAACATATCGCTTGGTTCGTCTCTTCGGACACGCGATTTTCTCGGGCCTCTCCATCTCGTACTGTTCCTCGTCTCTGCATTTCTTTTTGTTGTAACATCCGGTTAACAACTGCCATGGTCGTTGATTGTGGCACGCTTCATGGGAAAACGCGCGCGCTAACGTCCTTCGAATTACTTTTATATGTCGTTTGATGTATTCCTCATTCATTGTATTGCGTGACGCGCCGTGAGAGAAAGACACGGCAAAAGAACCAGAAAATCGAAAGAAAGAAAGATCAGTAATTAACGTTGATGCGAGTTGACAATTGAATACGCGCGACGCGAGCATAATCTTAATGACTCAACTTTGTCGAAAGAACTAACCGACTTTAAGGCGACACATACCACAGGACGTCCGCGAATTGTGTTTCTGGTATCACACGCGACATTTAAAATCTCATCGGGGCGAGTAATCTATAAATAGAGAAAGGCTCCAAATGGCTGTAAATTAAGAAAGGCATATGCGACTTCCTCGAAAGTTACTCAACGTATGCGAGGTGCTTCTGTTCTAAACGAAACGAGATTAATTAAACAGCGGCTTCCACGGCCGGATAACGAATATTATCAGAGTGACGATAAGCGGATATGGTATAAACAGGTACACTCGGCTGAAATTTATAAGTCGCGCTGTGCGCTGCGCGTTCGATAACCGGCCGAACACGTTGCGTAATCGACAGGAATGTCGCGTTTACAATGACAAGACAGAGAGAGAGAAAGAGAGAGAGAGAGAGAGAGAGAGAGAGAGGGAGAGAGAGAGAGAGAGAGAGACCGCCTTTCAGGATTCCACCTTTGCCTACTCGGCGTGTCGCCGAGAGTCGCGGAAAAGTTAGGTACGCAACGATTCGTTGCTAAATATTACGACGACGCGGTTGCGTAACCTTCAATCATTGCTGCTCGTCGTCGTCGTCATCATTGTCACGCGTTTACCTGTTTGGCTCAAGGTGCGCAAGCGTCACATTCCCGAGATACTGTGTCTTTTTCCATAAATCTGTATTCCAGCAAGCGAGCGAGCGAGCGAACGATGCGTCGTTATCAACCGAATTAATTCTAGTGATATGGAGTTACTTGCAGTTTTTATCGAGAAACAGAAGGAGCATCTTCGTGCGCCTATTGCTATTCGAGGTTTTGCTTTGCGAGGTTATATTTTGCAGCGAATTTCTGAATTTTTTTTTTTAGATTTTTGGCTTTTCACGACTGTTCTTTCCTTTATTCTTTTAATTACCTTTATCTTTTAATGAAGTAAATAAGTTTTGTCGTATGTGTACTTGAGCTGTTGGTAATAGGAAAATGCGAAGAGTGCTCTTCTCCTTGGCAACGTCAAGATATTCTCTCGCTAGTGAATGAGAAACCGAACCAATCAGAATTCGTAGGAGGATCGACTTCAGGCTCCTGAAAAAAGTGTCATTAAGAACTCATCCGGTATTGCGATGAGGCATCTTGTTTGCGAGATACGTTGATTCATAGTTCTCGCGCAACGTGCGTTAAATTATCACGATACGTCGATTTACGTTCCTTCGCTACGATAAAAAGAGAGGGAGAAAGAAGTTACCAGGAATACCTGGAAATGTTTGTTGCGTCCAGGCTGATTAATCATCGGCAATTTGTCGTCGATCTCTGTGTAAACGTGAATCGGCGCACTTTAGGAATTAAGTGGCGTTACCAAGTGCAACCGAGTTTACAACGTCGTTAATGTCGCGTATCATTCAGACGGAACACAATGCTCCTCATTGCAGCGGCAATTTACTTTTGTGTCACCGTTACGCGAGTACGAGAGCGCTCCTCGCGCCTTTTCTTCCGACGAAACTACGATATAAACGGAGAAGGCGAGTCAGAGAGAGAGAGAGAGAGAGAGAGAGAGAGAGAGAGAGAGAGAGAGAGAGAGAGAAAGAGAGTATCCGAGCGGTAATTTATCATGAAAATAGCGACCGTAAGAGCAGCTATCAGCGTCAAAAGCCGCCTCCCCCTGCGCACGCGTGCTCACAGTATTATGTGCTAATTACATTTGGAGCGCGTACACCGTTATGTCACTTCGCGGCTGATTTGAAGTGAAAGTATAACGAGGCAGCGATCGCGAGACGCGAACTTCTACTATCGTTGCGGAACGGGCTCGGCTCGAAAGAATGAAAATACCGCGTTTACGCACTGGCAATGGCGCGATATACATGTCCGAGACCGAGACTGATCGTTCGGAAATTGGTGATAACGGCGACGGCAAATTAAGCGATCTCGCGTCGAAGAAATTGCCTCGTTCTAATGAATGTGCGATTGAACAAACAAAACAGAAGAAAAGGAGGAACGTTGTTGAGCGATGACCGAGTAACTCGGAATGGCAATTTAAGCAGGAGCAATCGCGACCAGATCGAACTACATGTTGGTGACGGTGCGCAGCGTTTCGCTTCGAACAAAAAAACGTAGGAATTGAGCGAAACAATCGAGGCGAAATATCGCTCATTAGATAAATCGTATCAGGGAAATCGCGAGATGAGATCCGCTGATCTTTTTGTTATCTGCGAAGCGCATCACGGCTTGTAAGATCGTCGTGTTACCGGCAGCAGTCGAGGGAGAAAGAGAGAGAGACGTCGTTCGTATTTCCCGATTCTTTTTTCTCCTGATAAATGCCAAGAACCAATTATACAATTGTAAAAAAGAAAGTTCTCTCCTCGACGTGCGTTCGTATACGTCGTTCTAATTAAGATTAAGCGGTCATCGGCGGACAGGACAGTGTGACGGAATACCGAAGCAACGCGCTATTGCGGCACCTGGTACAATCAATTCACGAGCTTGTTAGTTTTCGACGATTAATCTCCCGTAGTGCGAGCATTCGAACACACCGAGGTGCCTCGGTATTTTTCCGCGTTATCGCCGCGGATAGGCTCAGAGAGGAAAGCGGTCTTGTCTAATAATATTTCAGAGGCGACGACGTCACAGTAGCGCAAATGCACCAGCGATGAAAAATACCAGCGCAATGAAAGGATTTACATGACGCAAGTGAAATCGCCGTTGTGCCGTAACGATATCTCTGCAGTCGTGTGCTCGCATATATTTAAAAGTCCGGGGCGTTGTGTAGCGGTCGCGCTGTGATAACTCGAGAATTATCGGGCGCCGATAATGCGATACGCTCGTTCAGCCAGCGGCGCGTGCCTCCGGCTCTGAGGAAACTGAGATGAAAATTAAGGAATAAGAATAAGAAAAGAAGGCAAGATCCAGCACGTAAGGAACGTGGTAGTAAAGGAACAAGTCATTAGGAACCGTGAATTGAAAATTACGGATTGATGGGACAGCGACGAATATCGCGTTTGACGAAATTTTTCAGACTGGAATTATGCCGCGCTCGCAAAACGTGCGAGTCGCGTGATTAAGATCAGCGAAAAACAATGAATAGTGTGTGTGTGTCGTTAGTGCGCAACATTTAGAGAAGCCTGGGTTTCGAATTATCGCGATGCCCACCGCTCCTCATCCGTTTGCGACGAGCGCGGACATATGTGAGTTCTCTTTATCTTTCCTTTGCCCTTCTTCTTCCTTTTTCCTCCCTGAATGTTCTTGTTTTCGTCGTGGACGACCTTGGAAGAGCTCTAATAGTTATACCGGCTTCTGTAAATATTAGACTTTCGTGCATCGGGGTTGGTGCAACGATCAGACGGCAGGAGGGAATGCCTTATGATAATCATCGCTGCAAACGAGAGCGAGAATTTCCCTGCAATGGGATGCGTATCGTTAATTATAATTAACGACATGAAGTGAACGCGCCTCTTGCGGTAAAAAAAAAAGAAAAAAGAAAAAGAAACTAAGATATCTTACGAAGATGTTGCGGTAGTTTTAATCTTTAAAAATAAATTTCTCGATAGATGTTGTTTTTCTTTTCTTTATGAGATCTCTATGATTTATTAATTTGTTGTTGTTAGGTAGAATAGCTAGATTCTATATATTTGAACGCTCATTTGATGTAGACTATTGTTTTCTGAAAATATTATTTTTTTTTTATTTTTGCGATATTTTTCGAGAGGAAAGGGACTGTAGGATCATATCGTTTAATATGTCTTTACACGTATCTTCTTCGCGTAATATTCTTAATTCTAAGACGATATATAAACACACGATTTAGATGAATATATATACAATATCGGTGTTATTGTTGATCTTGTAACGTCGATAGAATCGTATCGAATACCGTTATCTTATCTGTGTTTGTCATCTAACATTTATGAGCGACGATAATATTTTTTTGCCAGATGCTCTATAAAATTCAGAGATGTTTTCCGACGTGATTTTCCCGAGTTCTCTAGACGAGATCGCAGATTGAGCCGGATCCTTTGCCGATCTAATCGTTGCAGCAAACTCTTGGAATGTATATAACCACGCGCACGTATACATACGCACAATTAAAATAAGAGCCAAGTACACATGTTACGATCTTCGCACACGTCCAACATTATTATGTAAGCGTAACTTTAAGCATTACGTTTGACGGTAAGATTTAGTTATGTGTTACTCATCAAATTATACACGTATTTACGTACATGTGTAAAAAGAAGTATACTTAAGCGTGGGTTTGTGTTATTGCCCTTGAGAACATGGTCCAGTCTTCCGTCCTTCGTTTCCTGAAATTGTCACTAGTTTGTAAGAGTAATTGAGAGAGATTGAATAGCGTAATAGCGTCGTAAATGATTCTGCACAGGATTGGGTCTAGAGTTTGCTATTCAAATAGTTTGAAAAAGCAGGTAAAAGAACGTAAATTTTATTGGTATATTGATTCCTGATACTACATACAAGCCGAGAAATTCACAAGAATTTCAAAAATTCATTATTCAGGTCGTTAATTGTCTCGTCTCTTTATTACTTGGATAGATTTGAGTATTTTATAATTAAAAATCGTTTGACGCTCTAATCTGGTATCAATGCATTATTCTGTCTATAATTTATTATGTTAATGATAAGGAAATTATCGGAGACGCGTTCTCTCTCTCAAACATCGAAATATTTAAAACACAAAATTTTTTAGATATAAAAATTGAGAAATTTCCTTATCAGATTGTGACTAATACGTGTCCAATAAGTGGCGCCACGTCCTGGATCACTGTTCTGTTTTACCAAGCGATCTAGCTACGCAAAAATCATATTTATCACGCACCACACACTATCGATCAGCGCAGAAAACTCGTCATTTATTAAAAAAATGTAGTGTAATTTTGCAAAGAATTTAAGGATATGTTACTTCATACAATATATCCATTTTTCTAATTTGCTCAAGTATATTTACGGGTGATATTTTGATCGGAATAAATGAGTTTTCTGCAAGATAATCCGACAGACAAGTGAAAAAAATTATTTATGGTTTGTTTAAAGATATATTCTGATATTTATCTATACATTACAGCAGCATATTAGAACTTTACGGTAAAACCATAAGTAATAATTATACAGACACATGTATACGTCAGAAAGTTGGTGATTCCTCGTAATTAAAAAGTTTTCGAATAGAAAATCCACAGATTGTTGTCGCTAAAAGCGCGAAGATTGCTGATTGTTGAATTGAGAGGAACGTTCATCTAAAATTAGACATTTGCAATTTGCACTTGTCGTCGTTCCACGACGACATAACAGATCTTGCGTGAGCTCCACGAGCGCATGCTATAAAAAAATAGCAATAGCCTGGAAGGAGAGCCGACGTCGTTCCGTAATACAAAAAGAATCGGCGGAAAATATTACACAACTCAAATTTAGGACGCTTATTCTGCCGCTGATACCTCAAGTAGTGGCCTGGATATCGGATGTCAATTGACGTGTTTACATGTCGAGAAACATCGATATCAAATATTGCGTGAGTAAATCGATATCGATTTCGAGCAAAAGTTTATCGAAAGTTCAGAGAACGATGCGTGATCATGTACAACAAAATTTGCAGCGAAGCAAGTACAAGATCTGTTTTTAAATATCTGTCTCTGATATACGTGTCAATAATTATCGAGTCTGTTTTCCTCCTTCTTTCGCGTTGATCGGCAAGATTTCGATAACGGGCCATCGATAACTGACGAATCTCAACAATGATTCGGTTAATTGGTCAACAGTTGATTTTTTATTCGGATTCAAATGATCGGGCTTGCACATCGATAGTATCAATGAGCCGCGCGAGCCACTCGCATCGCGAATCCAGCGAGGGGGGAGATTTCGCACATGGTCGCGCGAGAGAGACGCCGCGACGCCGCGATGGCCGGTGCGAGCGAGAGAGAGAGCGACAGGCGGACATATATGGTCGCGCGGGGTTCGCGAGGCTCTCAGGTTACGCTGCTAGCGACGGCGCTAGCCGTTTTCATGATGATGCTCGACGTCTGTCCTCCCTCTATCTGGGAGCACCTATCTCTCTCTCCCTCTCCCTCTCCCTCCTTTATTCTCTCTCTCTCTCTCCCCCTCTCTCTTTCTCTCTCACTCTTTGCTTCTTGATCTTTTCTCTTTCTCAGTCTCTCCCTCTCCTCTCTTTCCCTCCCCCTCCCCCCTCTCTTTCTCTCTCTCTCTCTCTCTCTCTCTCTCTCTCTCTCTCTTTTCTCGCGCTCGTCTCTCCCTCGTGCCGGCACCAAAAATACCGACGCTTGTTCCGTGGGTGAGCTAGACGAGGACCGAACGGGGAGGTCCGATACAGAGAGGGAGAGAGTGTGAGAGAGAAAGAGAGAGAAGCGTTATTTCGAGATTATCGGGGATTGCCGGCTTTCTGGAATCGTGCCGATCGTCTCCATTCCCAATATCGAGCGTGTCTTCAATTTCACGAGCAAGAACGTTCGTCCGCCCGTACCGACGTCTCGTCGTCGCGACTCTCGCCACCTGGAAGGTTTCCGGCGATTTCGGAATTTTACCGCCGTCTGGATCTACTAGACCGCTCTCGTGGGAATCGCGGAAATCGGCGCGACGTTAATGTTATCAACTTACGAGCAGGTCTTCTCTCACCTCAAGTGTTCAAGGAATCATAGGGATGAAAGAAAGATGTCTTATCGGAAGAATAATTTCTATTTTAAATTACATGTATCGACAATTATTTAACATGCTTAATAATCGATCAAAGGGCAACCTTCACGTTATGTTCCCACGTATCATTCCTTGAAGACTAATAGATAGTGTATGACCTAACAGGCGTAAAAATGGCAGAAAAAGTAAATGAAGAAAGCACATCCTCCGAGAAGAGAAAACTGCCCGTCTTCATCCACTCGTCCGCCTATCGAACTTGGCAATACGATGATTATATATCTATTTTTATTGCGAATCTCCAAGACATAAAGCCCGGACCGAAAAATTCTCGTATGTAGCCAGATTAATTTTGCCGCAAGCAACGATGTAACTGGCGAGGTTTCAACGTCCTTCAGGCGTTACGCTCTCTCTCTCCTGCTGCGAGTAGTAAAAACACTTTATGAGCGGACGTCCTGAGCGCCCGTTCCCGTTTCGAAAATCCGCGGCTTCGTGCCTAACTGGATAAACTGAGATTTCTTGAAACGAGTCTTCGCTTCGTCGCGGTTTTTCCCGCGGAGCGCGCGGCACTCTTTCGGGAATCGTCTGAAAACAGCTCCGATCCGCCGAACGTGCAGTTTATCGTTTATTTCGCGAGAACGAGTATGCGAGACATTATCGCGAGACGCGGATATTGAAGATTTTGGCCAGACCTGCTCTAACAACAATTCACGCTGGTCTTGCCGAGAAATCACGGTCCGCGTTCGAAGCGAAGATCTTTGCTGAGACCGCGCGCGCATGAAAGAGTACGTCGCGTTGAGTTCGATCGGTCGATCGACCGATCGGCGAATCCGCGCGGCGATCTCTCCAGTATTTTTTTCGAGTCGCGCGGACGAGACGCCGCGGCAAATATAATAGGCCAGTGTCTTGTCCTGTCCTCGCACTCATAACATCTATTTCCAGAACGGATCGACGACTAACTTTAGAACGGCTGTTCCATATACTCGAGCCGTTCGCCCACTCGGTCCCGCGCTCGCTCGCTCGCTCGCTCGCTCTCGTGGAAATGTGATAAAGGAGCAAACAAGTGCACGCGCACGTAAAGGCGAAATCAGGAACGATTTCCTCGTAAAAGATCTCATACGGCGGGTCTTCAGGCGAACGAATGATGTACACATCAAAGCGCAAATTTAACCCAACGCGCGCGTCAGCGGTGACTTTCATGGGAAAAGGATTGATCGGGCATCGATAACGATCCGAATACGAATTGCAGATATTGCAAGCTTGCACACGACTGAGAACTCTTGATTGACATTGAGCGACTGATTTCACTGTGTTTGTGAGTCGGTCTCGCAGGAATTTCAGATTAGAAGAGAAAAACGAAGGGAACTTATGGTCTAGCGTGGGCCATAAAAAATTTCCCAAAGCCGAAACGACTGTCTCTGTCTCGAGGGGTGATTATCTTGAAGCGTTAATGGAGGCACGTTTATCGGAGGTTTAGCGGGCTAAACGTAAACAAGCGTGAAATTAGGGCCACGCTCTGCTTGTACTCGTCACGCCTGTGTTATTTGGTCCAACCGGGAATGCACGTTGCATCAACGTCTCGCGTGCGCGCGATTCGCATCGAAAGTGTCGCGGCGCCGGGGTCCGCTTTGACGACATCGGCGCGAATCTTTTTTTTAGCCATTTTCTTCTTTCTTTTCTTGTTGTAGTGAGAATTTAGGACGCGCTCGTAGAGCAATGAGAGAGACGTTATTTACGTGCATGCGCGCGCGCGTGTGCTAATTAGCAAGGTCTTCCCCCTTCGGCATTTTTCTGCCTCGGCTCACGCGGCAGAACATTCCGAGTCTCGCTTTTGCGAAGACGCGATTTACGCCGTCTGCTTGGTCTGCTTATTTCTCTTTAGCGAGCTCTGTATTTTCGATCGTAAATCAGTTCGCTGTAGCATCGAAGCCGGCATTAAATACGTCGATGAGACGGAGTATCCATTCTCCGAGAGCAGCGATTTCCGATAAATAAATTTCCGAAGGCGGTCTTAGCGTTCTCGTTTAGTAAGTAGTAAGTCAAATCGCGACAACTTGGACGAAATGTGCAACGCGTGCGTCTTTGTATCCCTTCGGATTATTTTCGCGGTCGAAATAGTCCCTCGTAAATTCTCCTCGAGCATTTCTCTCTTTGACTACATCCTGCTTCACATTGTTTCTCGACGACGGTAGTTTCTACGGTTTAGTTTACAGATGGCAGTTTCTGTTATTTACTTTATTTTATTACCTATTTAGCTTTCGCTGTTTAGTTTAGCTTTTACGACTTCAGTGGTAGATTGCTTTTTCTCAATTGATCGATATTCGGACATATCGATCGTCAGCGATTTCGTGTCGTGTTAATGTTTTTAATTCAAATCACGATCGATTATTTCGCTAGAAGAAAAGAAACGATAAAGTTGCCTTGTCGCGATGTTTCGACCGACCTTGACTGGTCGCTGAAGCGTCGGGAATCAAGTCAGACGTTGGTCTGTTGCAGTGCAGTTTGTTGTCGAGGTGATGTCTTCACGGGCGTTTGAAGTTGTCGACGTCTTCATTTTTATCGGAAGCATCTGACCAATTTTTAGGCAAAGTCGCGTGGCGACTCGGCTGTGTGGTAAAGCGAGACGTTCGAGTCGTTAGGTATAGATTCTAATACGTAAAGATAGATTCGCCGGTGAGGGGCGATCGTGTATATTTAGAAAAGTGCTCGGCTTGCCAGAACCAAGAGAGACTCGCATCTCGACGCTTCGCGCGAGATTTCTCCCTTGCTGATTTCTCTCTTCTCATTCTTCTCTTCCTCTGCTTCTGCTTCTTAGGTGCTCCTTCTTACGCGAGCCGCCCAACAAGAATGCGATTGTGACGCTTTCCGGATGAGCGCAAAACGCTCATGTGTACGCTATTGTTGCTCAATAATAGATCGCGATGCGGCTTGTTAGCGGATTAATACGGACAAATGGGGACGAAAGCGCCGGGTCGAACATTTTTATTTTATTCAGTTAGAAGAGCATGTATGTGCGTGACGTGTTTCACGATGACGATAATTTATTCAACTTATTAAGAGTTCCTATCGAGAGTTCTCGCGAAAAGGCAAAGATTAAAAATTCCTGCCTTGTTTTTAGAAAGTTCGCGTACTCCACTATATTCGATTAAATCGTCTTTTTTTATAATTTCTGGACTGCGCGGTTGGAAGGAAGATGTAAAAGTCCGTGAAAGAAAAAACTTCATAAATAAAAATCGCGTGGCGTGTTTTGACAGACGGAATGATTGTCGCCGCTTTCGCGGTCTAAATTACTCAGGCGGGCCTAAGCCAGGCATTTTTTCGTGACGTCGCTTTTTCGAGACCGCGATATATCAAGTTTAACGCAGTCGACGGGGCTGACACATAGGTCTGTTTTCGTTCTGCGACAGGGTTGATCGCGCCGCCAAAGAGAAGGACAGGTAACTTAATTACGTCGTTGCTCAAGAGGCTCATTGTAGCGCTTTACGGATGGCTTGAGGAAGTATGGTTGTCGGGATGTATAGTCATTTCACGGCCACTCAGCGCTGAGTTATCGCCATAACGTCTGCCCGTCTGCTCCACTGGGAGAAATTGTTGTTATAAATTCGCTACTATAATTAAGCATATCTCTCTTCCTCCTTCTCCTCTTGTTTTTTGCTGCAAATACTAGCTAGCGCTCGACACTCATAGGCGGATTTGGCGAATTTAAGTTGTAGACTTATGAGCTCTCAGTTTCACACAAGCTCTTCTCCCCCCCTCTCTCTCTCTCTCTCCCTCCCTCTCTCTCTCTCTCTTCGCCTCTGTCTCTATCTCGAGAAATCTGCGAGAAAATTGCCTCTTGAAGATGACAGACGATCGAAGCGCGTCTTTCCCTTTGTGCTCGCATATATATATATATATATACCTCGTACAATATTATCGCGTTTCTCTGAAATCCGCGACAACGCTTGCGCATTCGTCGCACTCGTGGATTTCGAATGATCACGAGTACGCTATTCGCTCGCTTTGTTGCGTTCATTTAGCCGCGTGTGCCGAGTGTCGAGTGACAATTGCATTCGGTAAACGTCCAAAGTAAACCGACGATCAGAGTCGCAATGACAACAAGCGGCTCGCATCTTATGGCTCGCGAGGAGCGCCGCGCCGACCGATCGTTATGATCCTCGACATTTTTCCCGGCGAAAAATTCGTCCTGCTTTCTCGTCGCAGAGCAGAATGCCTCGCTGAAACGGAGAGCCGAAGATTACCGTGCAAATTTCAGACGCTTACACGGTAAGCGGTTGAAGTGGCATATTTTCATATTTGCGCGTTCGAGTTTTCGAGCTTGCTCCCAAAATATGTCGCTTATAATTTGTCCCGCTAAATATGATGATGTTGACAGGCTAAAAGCGCTTCTCGGTTTCGTAACATCGCGAACGAGGTCCCATCGTCTATTTGTTACATGTCGATTTTCGCACGTGTCCCTACGAGGGTTTTGACGCGCGAGGGGAGACACACGCGACTCGAGCGACCTATTTCTTCGTTTTGTCAGGTAGACATGAGGAAAGAGAGGGTGCTTTCGCGCGCGCATTATGCGCCGGCGTTGCGGCGCTGTCTAATTCCGTCGCGTACACGCCAACGTGAGAGATTCCATTCTGGTGACTTTTCATCAGTCATTTAGTCCACTGTCGATAGCGCGGGTTCATTTTTAGATTCGCATTGCCCGACGGCCGCGTCTGTATGACAAACACACCAGTGATGAGAAATAGAATACGCGCAATAACACCGAACCGCGTCAATGGGCTAGATGCAAAGTCATGTGCGTGGTGCAACGATGAAGAGAAAATATACACGGAAAAAATATCTGGTCGAGCAAGAAACGTAAACGTTTCTCTCCGTGTGCAAGATTCGCAAATAGCTTCGAAGCTTTCGTTCTTCTTCAGTTTCGGATATAAGCATGCACCGCGAGATATAGCGAGGAATTAACTTCGCGCGAGCGAAAAGTCACTTCGAATTCGAGTGACTCGGCTCTGTCATTCGAGCGGAGCTTCGCTCGAAGAAATTTAGAGAGAGAGAGAGAGAGGGTGAGAGGGAGAGAGTACTCCGTTTCGTTACTTTTAATAATAGAAATGTGACTAACAATCCGACAAACTTTCGCAAGCTCCTGATATATTT